GCAGTCATGAAATTAACTCATGTCTTGCACAAGACTTCTTAAGAGTAAGGATGTCAGTTTGAGGATTAAGGTCCACCCGACCAAGTTATGGCATTTTCAATTGCCTCATATACATGTGAAAGTTGGTTAATGAGTAAGAAAGACAGCAGAAAAACTAATGCCTTATAGTTATGGTGTTGGTGAAGAATATTGGAAGTATTGTAAACTGCCAGAAGAACAAACAAATCTGTCATCGAAGAAGTACAGCCAGAATGCTCTTTGGGATCAAGGATGGTGACACTTCATCTTATGTACTTTGAACATGTTTTCAGGAGAGACCAATCACTCGAGAAGGACCTCATGCTTGGAAAAGAGCAGGGGCAGTGAAGACACTCAAGGAGGTGAATTACCACAGTGGCTGCAACAATGGACTCAAACATAACAACGGTGAGGATGGTGAAGGTCTGGGCAGTGTTTTGTGCTGTTGTACATGGGGGTCACTATGAATGAGAATTGACTTGATGACACCTAACAATAATCTACATATAACATTCATTTGAATATTACTACAAATAAGTCTTTACTTTTATAAGTAATGACACCAACTGTGTATCCTTAAAGAACTAAGGGTCCTGGGAATTTAACCATGACAATGCAGTCTTTTAACATATTTCTTATGATTAGGAAACAAAAAGAAGTCAGAAGGAGACAAATCAGGACTGTAAGGCGGATACCTAATGATTTCCCTCAGAACTTTCATAAGCTTGCCCTTGTGTGATGAGAAGAATGAGCATGATCATCGTTGTTGTGAGGAAGGCTCTCTGGTGTAGTTTTTCTGGCCATTTTTCTGCTAAAGCTTCGGCAAACTTTCTCCAAATAAGATGATGTAATTGTTCTCTGGCTCTCCAGAAAGTCAACAGGCAAAGTGCCCAGAGCACCCCAAAAATGGTTGCCATGAGCTTTAGTCAGGACTGGTCAATTTTTGCTTTAAGTAGACTTCTTCTACTGCTTAGTAGCCATTCCTTTGATTGTTTTGTTTTCGGGATCTTACTGGTAAAGCCATGTGTCATCTCCCATTATAGTTCTTCAGAGAACTGCCCCAGGATCTTGATATCCCACTTGTTTAAAATGTCCATGGAAAGCTCTGCTCTTGTCTGCAGCTGATCTGGGTGCATTAGTTGTTGTACCCATCCAATGGAAGTTTCCTCAACTTTAATTTTTCAGTCAGAATTGTGTAAGCTGAACCAACTGAGATGTCTATGGTGTTGGCCATTGTTTTGGCTGGTTAATCTTTGGTCCTTTTCGAGGAGAGCACGGACAAGATTAATGTATTCTTCATAAATTGATGTGGATGGTCTACCATTGTGGTCTCTATCTTCAACATTATCTCGTTCCTTATTAAAATGAGCTATCCATTTGTAAACTGCTCATTTCTTTGAAGTATTGTCCCCATACGTTTCAGTAAAGCATCAATGATTTCACCATTTTGCCACCCAACCTTCACCATAAATCGGATGTTTATTCTTGCTTCAATTTTAGCAGAATTCATATTCCTCTGATAGGGACTGTTTCCAAACTGTTATTTTATTCTTTTTAGTGCCACTACCTACCTCGATTACAGGCCACCACCAAAGTCACAGAGTGGAAATCTTACTGCCTCAGGAACCTCTCTAGCGCCCTTCTCAGATAGCGGCCTCTGGTTACTATCAAGATACACCTTCTTATGAATGATACATGTTAAGCAGGAATGTGACCACATCTCAAACTTCTAATATTGTTTTCAAGTGGACTTTCAATCTATTGTTTAGAGAAACAAACTTTTACACTATACTCTCAAATGAAGTCATAAAGACACATATTCATGAATTCATGGTGTTCCGTGGTAAACAGAGAACTGTCAAAAGTAGGTAAAGCCAATAATGCCATCAAATAATCTTACCTTGTTCCCTAACTTGAATACTTCTTCCAGGTTGGTGCTGTTGGTGTTTATCATGATGGAATCAGTATCTCCATAAATAACGTCAAGATTCATCTAATGAAGAGAAAAAATTATAAACATTTAACAACCCCAAATGCAGTGACCATATAGTGTACACAATGAAATGAGGGTACTTAAGCTTTTCCATGCTGCAGAAATTCTAGGTTCTATTAACTTTTCTAACGTTTATTATGATCCATGTTGTCAAGGACAGACAACTGAAGATTAAGCTCCCAGAAGCAAATAAGCAAGCACTACAACATAAGGGGGGTGGGGGGGGATCTCCTAAGTTGTCTTAAAATAGAGTAGAACGGCAGGAAAGCTGTGTCCAGTTTCGACAGAAACAAATTCTGGATGGGAATAATGAATAAGAGACTGGGGGAGCTGTATTTACCCACAACACCACATGTTGAGTGGTCAAAGCAATTTCAGAAACAGAAACATAATGGATCTTTAAAATTCAGGGGCACAAATTCATATTAAATACTTAACAGTCTCAAACAGTATTTAGTAGAATATGAAGAGTGCCAAAAAAAATCAATCATCACAAATAACACTAGAACACATAGGCCTGGAAGTAAACGCTAATTAGCACTGTTACTAATTTGCTTGAAACAGTCACATATAGGCTTCAAGCAGCGGCCAGATCATATCAGTGTTGGTAAAAGAAAAAAAGCTATAATCCTTTAGAAGGGATTATAAACGTCAACTAGGCATCCTAAGAAGCGATTTCCCATCTGTTTGGGTTACAATTTCCTCTGAAAACAAAAACGTCATCAAGTATGGTGTTTTAAGAGTTGTTAATATAATGAAAATGTGCAGCATTACCTTTTGTACCATCTCTTTTGTGTGCATCAAAATCTAAATAAAACAAAAAGGTCAAGATTAATGCATTACACAATTACAAAAACATAAACAGAAACACAAGGATGCAGGCAACGCCCAATGATTTTTCACTTTTATAGCTTTGTAAAGTTCCTAATGGTTTTCCAACTATTACACTCAAAATAACAATAATAACATCAACAAAATCTAAATACAGGCTTATCCTTTGGCGGTTAGCAAAAAAGGTGTGTGTGTCTGTCTATATATAATAAGCATGCATAATAAAAACATCCTTTTATAATATGACATAAAGATATTCTCATTACTGGTGCATTACTGGTGTGCTCAGCTGAAAATTGGGAATTTGAGCCCATCCAGAAGTGCTTCAGAAGAAAGGCCTGACAACCTACTTTCAAAAACATCAGCCATTGTGAGCACTGTGGAGCCTCTGACAACTCAGCTCTCCGTGAACATTCTCACTACTAATACCGTATTTAACGAGAACGGCACAATTAAATAGGAACTCTGGTGGGGCTGTTGGGTAGGCATTGGACTGCTCACAACAAGGTCATTGGTCCCAACCCACCAGCTGCTGTTCCTCAGGAGAAAGAAGAGGCTATCTGCTCCTGAAAAGATTTATAGCCTGAGAAACCAGATATAGGACTGTTATGGGTTGGAAGTGACTCAATGGGAGTGAGTTGGTTTTTTTTGGTGCAATTAATACAAAAGCCTTCACAGAACATTTCAAATCTTCATGGTATTCAGTATCATAAAAAGGAAACTGATAGTGTAAGAAGAAGGACATGGCCCAAGCAGTCTGACTCTGAAGCCGGGGTCTTTGCCTCCGTATGCTACTGCCCTTTCGAAGCATCAATCTAGACCCAAAGCCACTTCCCAATGGGCCAGAGAATCAATTTACTTTATTTCTATTAATTACTCCTACTTCCATAGTCTTCTCCTTGCTAACCAAGTTCAAATAAAAAACCACAATCCAAACCAAACTGACGGCCATTCAGTCGATGCTGATTCATAGCAACCCTACATAGAGCCCTATAATCAAGTGTCTTTTACATTGACCCATTTCTTTTCCTTTCTATTACCCTTTTCCCACTTATTACTATTTTCCGGTTTTGTTTAGCTGCTCATCACCCTTTGTTCTTAGGGAATAAAGGCCCTGTCCCTGGCCTTAAGTGAAAGAGGGGTATGACTTCTGATTTGGCTAAGCCAATGATTTTAATGCTAAAAATAAATTTTTAAATGTCTGGCAAAGAAACTTTTAAAAAATGCTTGTGAGACAAAACATACATACCTCCAGTGACAGATAGGTAATGATTACATTACGCAAGAAGTGCATTGGCTGGGAATCCAACCTGGGTCTCTCTCATGGTAGGTGAGAGATCAATACACTGGAGCATGCTGTTCACAATCTCGTAAATGTTTTTATGGTCTCCCCACTGGGTACAAGGATCAAGTGAAGTGTAAACTCTAGCTGCACCCACACGAATGATCTACCATTACAGCCCCCTCTTTCCCTTACACAAACCCTCTACCAGCAAGAAAAGTCTCCCAACCCTCTGACAGTTGCCCTATACAGTACAGACGCATCTTTCCATGCCTTCACTCATCCAGTATCACCAGTCCTCTTCTCAGCTCAGGTCCTGCTTCTTCCATAAAGAGCGCACTGACCAGATAGACCCAGCCATGGCGCTCCCTCTCTTCTGATTGGTGCTTGTACCATTCTTCTAGCCCTTAAATGATCTTTGCTAGTATTCTCTGATAGCTTGTCCTCTCCCCAACTCAACATAGACTCAGGAAGGTTAGAGACCAGTTCTCAGGCCTCTTTGTATGACACATTTGTGCCTCACTCCCGGCTTCACATATAATGGGCACTTTGAAAAACTTTGTGAGTTGACCGATAGGCCTCATGGCAATCCCAATTACTTTTCTACTATACACTAATAATAAGTTAACTTATTATAAAAAAACCACTATCTTCTAGTCATCTTCATTTTTTAACATTTAAATTACAGGGAAGTGCATTATGGGCGACTACCTGACAAATCCTTTGGGAAAAGGGCAAGAATGAGATCAACCCAAATCATTAATCATAGGACAGAGCCACTCACCAAGAGTTCTTTTCACCCTCTGCCCCTTCCACTTTGCTGAGCCTCACTTTCCTCATCACAATGGGCAACTCCGGAAGGTAACTGTTACCTACTAAGTCAAATACCGCAGGAGCAATTTGTCAACCTTTCATGGCAACTCAGCATATTCAGCAACTGATTTCTGCTACTCTTCTTTCGTAACTTCAGCCAAATCTACAATGTCATCTCTTGACTGCACCTTCAATGTGAGCTTTTCTCTTTCAGATCTATCATCCACCCCTCATTCTACCTTGCCACCAACTCACAACCATTTGTACACATGATCCAAGGGCTGCTGCCAAAACGATTTTCCCTTGGTAATTGTTTTGCAGAGAAATGGTAGCAAACTATAAAGACTGTATAATAATTGCTTTTCCACCTAACAATTTATTTTAGAGATTATGCCATGCTTACACATTAAAAAAGAATAACTTTATTCTTTTTTGATGAATATATAGTATTCTATTATATGAAGAGAGCGCACTTATATTTAACTATAGTTAGTTGCTGTTGAGGTCAATCTGCGTAACAGAACAAATTGTGGCCCAGTCCTAAGCCATGTTCATGATCTTTGATTTGTTGGAGTCTATTGTGGCTATTTTGTCAATTCATCTCATTGACAGGTTTTTCGCTGGCCCTATACTTTTTCAAACATGATAGCCTTTGCTAGCAATAATGGCATGTAGGTTGTTTCTTATCATTTACTATTATAATCATACTTCAATATACGATTCTTCTACCCAAGTAATCTGTCAGTAACAGGATAAACTCCTACAAGTGGGCTTACTGAGTCAAAGGCTATGTTTTCACAAACAGAGCTAAATAGTTCTCCACGGAAGCTGAACCACTATCTGTATGACATTCAAATCTTTCCAATGGATCGCAACAGCAGTTGGTGATACTATGTCTTAGGTTCAAGGTCCTCAAAACTTCTTATCAAATTGTCAGTCCATTGTATACAAGACAACCTCCAACCAAGGGAACACTTACCCTCTCACTCTTTCTGATTAAGCAGGTCTAGATGTTGGATACCACAGTACTCCATCTACACTAACATTTCCCCAAGTGTTAATAAGTAGAATCACCCCCCAAAACTGCCCTCAGGGCCAGCCCTCAATTCAAACAGCTAAAAATCACTGGGGAATACACAAGTTAATGGGTGGGCAAATCATCAGTAGCCAGTGGAGAGTCACCATTAATAGATACTTTCCATTAATAAGTATTTATCGAATATACTGAATGAATAGTTTTAAGGGGAAGGCAGTAATATAAACCCCATTGACAGACGAGGAGAATGAAGCTCTGAAATTTTGCCCCAAGTAACAGAACTAGTCAAGCATTTCTAGAAGCTGGCTCCTGTATTGCCTTTTCCCCATTATGTCCCACTGCCTTATTAAAAAACTCAGGCCACATGGATGATCTGAAAGCCAACAATTAAAAGCATATGCATTACAGATGTTCTCCCCTATATATGTATACAAAGCCACAAGGACACAAAAAAAGGTCTAATGGACAGACATGGTACAGTGATTGCAAGATGGTCGTTCATAAGTTCATGTCACAGTGACAAGGAACTCATTCTGACAGAAAACCATTTGAGAAGTGCCAACAGCTAGAAAATAGGGCTTTAAAGACTTGCTAAAATCATTAATAAGGCAGACTGCAGTTATCTGATTTCACAGCAACACCTGCATATTTATCTACTCATTACCAATTGGATGATGGAATTTTTTCAAGCACATTTCAAAAATCTGCCAACTTCAAGTGTAAAAAAATAAACTTTGTGGTTAATTTTTCCCTTAACAAAGTACAGCTGTTGAGAATAATTGTTCAAGATCTTACCCTGTAATGTCAACTGCAGCAGAACAAAGAGTATTTAATTAGCAAATCTATCCAGTAATTCAACACCTATTATATAAAATGCCTTCGTGATTTTATTCAGGATAATTTGCTAAGAGGGTTATTACTGACATTCAGATGGAATTTAAAATTCCTACGCAAGTCGAGTCATAATAGCAGTAATGATCTCCCCAATCAGGAGATTCGGTGTCACACAGGCTCTCTTGCAATGCAGCAGCCGATTTCCTGACTTCTTAATTCCTGGGCTCAGCTCAGTGAGAGCCCTTCATGCCGATATTTCAGTCAGCAATACATCTTTAATGGGACTCTATTAAAATACCTAGAACAAAAATGACTTTTTTTTGGTTAAAAAGAATGACAGCACTGCCATCATGTCAATCATTGCCAGCTTTGCAGAACAGTGCCTTTAGGAGAAAAGAGGAGGGGGAAACAGGAAAGGGGTGGGGTGTGGAGAGCATGCATTAAAATAATAGGAGATGGTATTTTCACCCCAACCCCTGGCCTGATCTGAGCCTTTGAGGGTTGGTGAGGAGTGGTGGGGAATAAAGAGAAAATTGTAAATAGATGATCAAAAATGTCTTCTAAAGAAAATACTGTATTCAGGAATACACCCACCACATGATTTGCTGAGCAGAGAGAGCACGCTGGGTCCGCCCAGGTTAATGCCGGCAGCAACCTAAGACCAACTACTACTGATATATGTATTTACAGGCTCTTCTAACAAGTCCAGGGTACAGCCTGGTTCTTCATATTTTGTTAAAACAGGAAACTATTGCCTTGTAATGCATTTGAAGGTTGCTAAATATTTTTAGATGCCACTGCAAACAAAAAGAGTGCTTATTAACACTAAATGAGAGAGAGAGAGAAAAAAACACCCAATTGCCAAAGTATAAAAATAAAGTCTAAAGGTCCTATTCCACAAGCACACACAGAGCACTGCAACACCCACGAACAGGAGGCCCGCTCCGGTGCCTGCTGCAGGTATTTGAATGCATGGAAAAGCCTACAAGTGAACACGACATAGGTCAACTC